GTGGGAGCGTCTTGGGGCGGCTCCGGCCGCTGTGGGGAAAGGCAAGGCGCCAGCGGGAGAGCGGAGCCCACAGGGCGCTGCAGGCAGGGATGTAGCCCTTGTGGCCTCCCCCTGGTAGGGGATGGCGTCAGGCCCCTCAGCTGCCCCGCAGGTTGCTGAAGGAAGGGGCGAGCAGGCTTTGCGCCGTCAGGGAAGGTGGAGACGAGGCTGAGAGCGTCTTCATGAAAAGCAAGAGGCAGAACCATGCATGGCGAGGAAGGAGTGCCAGCTGGAGACCCTGGTTAAGTGGGTGATGGAGGGTGGCCATCAGGACGGAGAAGGCGGGAAGCTCATGGTTTCCAGCGACAGGAGGAAGGTTCATGCTCCGCCTGTGGATCTGCCACTTCAAAGTAGATGTAGTGCCCTGGGAACTTCTTTAGGCGGCTGGAGAAAGCCTCACAGGCACAGCCCTTGTGCTTATGGATGGCTTTAACCACTCCACTATCTGCTGGAAGGGCCGGTGGCTGGGCACAAGCAACCTAGGAGATTTCTGGAAAGTATTGAAGGTAAATTTCTTGATGCAGTTGATTGTTGAACTAACTAGGAGGGATGCTCTGTTGGACATGCTACTCACAAACAAGAAGGAGCTGGTGGAAGATGCAAAGGTCAAGGGCAACCATGGCTGCAGTGACCAAGAGACTGTGGAGTTGAAGGTTCAGAGAGGAGTGAGCAAGATTAACAGAGTTACAATCCTGGACTTCAGCAGAGCAAATTTGGGCCTGCTCAGGGACCTGCTTGGGAAGGTCCCATGGGAAACAGCCCTGGAGGGCAGAGGGGCCCAGGGGACCTGAGAGATCCTCAAGAACAATTTCCTCAGAGCTCAAGAATGGCTCAGTCCGATGTGCTGAAGTCAAACACAGCAGAAGGCTGGGATGGATGAACAGGGAGCTCCGACTGAACTCAAACACAAAAAAAAAGTAGTACACAGAAGGTGGGAGCAGGAGCAGGCCACTTGGGAGGAACATAAAGACGTAAGGCATTGTAAACTCCCTTCCTACATGCACGGCAAAGCTCAGCTGGAGTTGAAACCAGCAGGGGAAGTGAAGACCAGCAAGAAAGGTTTCTGCAATCAGCAGGA